GAAAGCACTCGGTTGTCGACAATTCGAGCCGCTCTGCACTGGATGCGGTCAAGTGGAAGAAGCTGGTACTGGGGAGCTCCAGCCCAGAGATGGGAACAGTATTCCATGTGCGGCCGAACCTGCGCCTTGTAAAGTTGCAGGCGATGTGCCGGCATGAAATACTGTCCCGCTCTGCTAAGCACGTCAAGCTTTTTAAAGGCCAATTTGGCCTTCTATTCCAAGTGACCACGTAACTGCACGTCTTCGGACACAAGTTTGTCCCGGTACTCGGAGACGTTTTCCCGAGAAATATTGACACGGCCGGTGTACAGAGCATCTCCAGTGCTGTCATCTGCATAGCAATGAATGTTGCGGGTTTGCAACATATCATTGATATGCATAAGAAACAGCGTTGGCGATAGCACACAGCCTTGTGGAACACCAGCATTAATAGGCTTGTAATCGGAACTTGCACCGCCTACAACGACCTTGATGCTCCGATCTGCAAGAAAGCTGGTGATCCAATTGCACAATTTCTCGGGAAGCCCATAGGAAGGGAGCTTCGAAAGAAGCGTTTTGTGCCAAACCAGATCGAAGGCCTTCGCAATGTCCAAACTGACGGCCAATGCCTCCCCTTTGGACTCTACTGCCTCCGCCCATGTATGAGTTAGGTAGACTAGAAGATCACCAGCTGATCGACCACGGCGAAAACCGTATTGGCGATACACTAATCAGCTGGTGATCCTCAAGGTACCTCATGAGCTGGCAGTTTACAATGGACTCCATTATTTTGGAGAACAAGGAGGTGATGGCGATAGGCCAGTAGTTGGACGGGTCTGAGCGGTCGCCTTTTTTAGGGATCGGGTGGACAAAAGCCGTCTTCCATGACTTTGGGACTCCCAGGGAGTAGGAATACCGGAAAAGACGCGTTAAAACCGGTGCCAACTTTGGAGCACACATCCTCAGCACAATTGGGGGGATACCTTCAAGCCCATTCGACTTGTGGATGTCCAGGGAGAGGAGTGCTTTGCGAACCGAGCGCTGTGTGAACTACACTTCCGGCATGGAGTACTCACACCGTGGGATGGTCGTCGGCGTACTCCCCCCGTCATCGAGAGTCGAGTTGGACGCAAAGAAAGAGCCTAGCAGATCGGCTTTCTCCTTTGTGTTACGGGCCAGTGAGTCGTCCTCCCTGTGCAGAGATGGAAGGGATGGCTGACAGAAATTCCCCTGGACAGCCTTGGCGAGAAACCAGAATTCACGGGTTCCAGAAAGGAGGCGAACTAGTTTCTCGCCAATTCTGCCTATGTGCTCTGACTTTGCCTTGGCAATGACTCTTTTGAAGGACCTGGAGGCGGAATTATACTTCTTTTTTAGAGCGCTGGAGTTTACATCCGCGGACGTTGATGCGTCAGCCCAGGCTTGGCAGCACTCCTGCTTATAGCATGATGCTATTTTACAGGAGCGACCAAACCATGGCTGCGATTTGCCTCCGATGGGCACCACAGAGCAAGGAATAAAGAGTTCCACACCCTGAAGTACCACATCAGCGACAGAATCCGCAACAACGTTGGGATCGTCCGGCGAGAAGCAAACCCGCCCCAAGGATAAAATGCAAAGAAAGACCGCATCCTATCCCTATCGGCTGACCTATAGCGCCAAACACGGCGGCAGCCTGCAGAATGCAACTGCGATTTCAGCGTGAGTGGCACCACACTCCGGACAAGACAATGGTCCGCAGAGCCTAAAGATGGCATCGACGGAAATCTGATATCCGTCCGGATGAGAGGTCAGCAGAAGGTCCAACAGGGAAGGTGCATGATCCTCCACATCTGGAATCCGCGTAGGCGAAGTAACCAGTTGTGTCAGACCATATGCCAAGGCAAAATCATGAACAGATCTCCCGTATGTTCGGTTAAACGTGAACCAAGCCACTCGGCGTGATGGGCGTTAAAGTCGCCGAGGATCACGAACTCTGCGGGGGGGATCTGCTGTAGCAACGAATCTGTAGCCATTTGGACGTGGTCGAAGAGTCGGTCTGTTTCGGCATTACCGTTATGGGACCTACAGAGGCACCCGTAGACGCGCGGATGGTCGTCACTGTCTACGCGTAGCCAAAGGATGGACAGGTCCGAACCTTCAAGACTGCCGCGGCGTCGAGAACAGATGTCCTCTCTGACGTAAACGCAAACTCCAGCTCGAGGCACAAAGGAGTGTTCCAAATTGTACCCCGGGCAGGAGAGATACGAGACATCAGCCGGAGAGGACACCTGCGTCTCAGTCAGAAAGAGCAGAGCCGGCCTCGCCGTCCCGAGATGGTAGTGGACGGCGTTTAGGTTAGAGTGAAGTCCCCTGATATTCACGGATAGCGAGCGTGGCAGGGGTCGCCTTGGTCTTGTTGCTTCCGTTTGCCCCGAGCAGCTGTAGTCTTAAACGGAATTTTGCACCCCCCCCCCCCCCAGAATACGCCGGGCAGCCTGAGCACCCACGCTCTGGAGTGAAGTAACTTGGTCGTGGATGCTCAGCGAGGGATTCTCCAGGGGTGCTGGTACCCTCCTGGGGTAGTCTAACATTTAATTCCGCTACCATGTTGATGGGGGGGGGGGGGGAATTGGGCCTCCGACCATCTGCACTCACCAGACGAAACGCGGAAGCAGAGCTTCCACTTCACGCCGGTATTCTGTGAGGTCGTGGTACCACCCCGGTTTAACGGCCCATACGTGCAACAGCAAAGCTGCCGCGTGGCTCTACTACTGTTAAAGTTACTAAAATAAATAAAACACTAATCTACAAAATAATTACTTTATTCAACCTATTTTGTTTAACTTTCCTCTGATTAAACAAGTATCAGAGCCCTAGGCTGTTTGGTCTTCCCTGTCGAGGGTTTTATTTATTTTGTTATATTGATATTTATGTATATTTATCATTCTCATTTATATATTTATAAACCTATAACTAATACTACATAAATACCAAAAAATTAATCATTTTTATTCTCTAAATATATATAGGCATAGTCCACATGTGCATTATGCACGCAAAAATTATTTAACATATTATCTTAAATCATTAATTTTAGAAGTAAGCAAGTCAATATATACATAATTAATAAAATCGAATTAAATTAATAAAAGGTACAATTATCATGTCAATTATTATTATTTTATAACTAGGCGAATCAAATTAAGTATATATAGAAAAAAAATTAAAATGTCAAATAAGTACTTAATCTAATGAGAAATATTCAAGAGCTGGTATCACTCCCGAGTCCGAATCCACACGCTCGCGCCCGAGTGACGCAGCGCACTTGTTAAACAATAGTAGTTATGCAAACAATTTTTAAATGCAGGATGAGAATTATTACTTATTTATTAATACTTATTTTAAATATTAATAAATATATATAATAAATATTAATTGCAATCGCTGATTTTAACCTTTACTCATCCCATCCCGCAAAGAATGCCAAAAAGCCCGCATTCATCGACTTCCTGCATGTCTTACCAGGTCGTAACTCCATCTGGCGGAAAGTCACGTGTCTAATGCTTTTTATCACATGTTGAAGTTTGTCGACGACTAGGTTTTAAGACGATTTTTTTTAAAGTTGGGAGAGGAGCACCTCATTTCAATAATAGAAGGCGTTAGTAAGCGCAATGGTCGTGTTTATCTCCATGATTAAATTCGTTGAGGTCTACCCTTAACTGCGATCACTGAGGGAAATGCGACTTCTGTATCAACGCTAGTTGAAGAACACCAGCTGATCAATTACGAGGAGATTAGAAGACGTTTGTGTATTGGTATTGGTAAAGTTAGAAAACATTATTGCAGCTTGGTTGAGGATACCTCGTCAACACACCCAACAACAAAAACGGCTGCGAATCGATGGTTTTAAAACAATATTGTTAATGTATGATCACGGACGTTCAAATGCTGTGTATGGTATTGTAAAAGGAGATGAAGTACGGATATGTTGTTATATTTCTAAATTCCAAAATGAAAGCAACGGTCTTGTGTGTGTTCGATAGCAAATCAAGAGAATTGAGGCAAGCAAGAAGAGTGGATGGAATAAAATGATTGCGTTCTTTTTCTAAGACGGGTTCTTTATGCACGATCCCACTTGATGAGCAAAATACAGTTAACGTTGTGTGGTACAAAACCGTTAGATTAACGTTGTGTGGTACAAAACCGTTAGATTACCGCAGTGTCTGATAAAGTAAAGGAAAAACGACAAAGAAATAGCATCTTGTTGTACCATGACTCGGCGCACACCGCATACTAGATAAAGTTATTATAGGCTTCTGAAAATGCTCGTGATTCAACCCACATACAGTCCAGACATCGCTTGCCTTTAATTTCCCAAAAAATTTGAATTTGATGAAAGGTTTGTCATTTATAGAGCCAGAAAAGGCCGTGATAGTTTTCAACCAGCACATAAAGAACGTGCCCTCAGACCAATGGTCCTTATGTTTTCAAAAAAGTGTAATGGAAGCATACTTTGAAAACAGTAAATATATTAGTTTACAAAGTTGTTTTATTTATGAGTTACTCAAAACTTTTAGTGTACCACACGTCAGACCTCTGTCCTGACTTGCGTAAAATATTAACTACAATCGGTATCGGGCCACATACGCAGCCGCTGCTAGCGCGTTGTACACGATTGAATATTTAAGTTTTTTAACGCTGTTTACGTAAATAGGTTTTTGTAAATACTTGTTGAAATGTATGTAACCATTTTTGTCATAATCTTCATATTATGTTTTAGTTGAATAATGTTTTTTCTTTTTACTTTATAATATGAACGATAAGGGCGCAAAACACATAAAATTTCTATAAACAATTTCTATATCTAATGCGTTTAGTTCTATCATAATTACTAAATGGTAAATGTATTTAATTTATGACGATGAATAATGACAAAATAAATTAATACTTCTAATAACGCTTTTAATTAATTGACTTATTGTAATTAACCTAACTGTGGAAAACATTTATTTCTAAAAAAATATAATTAAAAAACATACATCAGTAGAAAGCAGCAATCCCATGGCGAGTCCAAACACACAGCTGAGGAAGGTGATGGTTGTTTCCCAAATTTTAAGTGCGTCCGCGTTGATGGCCATGATGCCCGCGATGACGCAGTGCCAGATGGCTAGCTGCTGCGCGATGCCGAACATTATCAGTATGAAGAAAAATATCACTGCCCACGCCGGCGACAGCTGGAATTAGTATTAATATTATTAATAGTTGCATTAGTCAAAGAAGCGAGCCACGGTAGCTCGGGGGGTTTGAGCAACCCGGGTTCGATCCCCGCCGGCATCAATGAAATTGTTAAGACGACACATCGAAAAAGTGGCTGCAGGCTATCGCCGTACTGATCCGAGTGAATACATAATTTCTATAAAAACTTGAAAAAACGCCGTCATAAGGTCTAAAATTGCGTAGCGCCCGCGACAATTAAAAGCGTGTAGAAATTGTCAGAATCTTAATATATTTTTTTAAAAATAATTGATTTAAGTAATCAAAATAATGAGCAAGTAAATTATGAATATTGATGTTATGAATATATTTGAGTGATTCCCAAGCATATAGATTAAGTAATTTCGTTGTAATTTCAACTATAGTGATTTTTAGAGGTGTTTTCGCAAATAATTATGATTGAGTCAAAATTATACAATCGTGTTTTTGAACAATCAAATTCAAGATAAAGACATGAATTTACCTATATCAAAATTCCACTTTCGTTAGTGGTGTCGTAGTCCTATACTATGCGATGAAAGGAATTGCATTTTTTCGCGGTGTCGCCTTAATTGCAGTTTTAAGTGTTAACATCTTCTTTTATTCTTGTTTTACTTTTTATTTTAGGAATTTTTGCTCGTTAACATGTAAATCTCATTAAAGCTAACTTAAAATCTATACATATGTTATTAATTTGCACATACTTAATGCAATATCCGAGGTGGGGGCATGTAGGATGCCTTGCGCAGTACCTATATTGTACACATTTATATTATATGTCCTTACAAATAATTCCCTTGCCGCTCGGTACCGCTTACATTCCATTAAAAATCCACAAATTTCACAGTTAGGTGAATCAGTTCTTTTCATCAAATAAGAATATTTTTGATGGGATGTGACCTGTTCTTATTCTAATATTAATTTAATAGTATTTCAATTTATTTTGTATCTATAAACCAAGGTATTCGAGGCGGTTCACTCTGTATCGTTTTATACCAAATACCTTTCGTTTTAGAACGTTCATTGAAAAATTCTTTCCATTTATTATGACATGAATTTTTGAATTTTGGTAATACTTCTGAGTAGCAAGGGTCAATATTATACTCTACACCATTTATACAAGCAGAATTCGCTAATCTATCTGTCTCCCCTAAATGTTAACATCGTGAGGTAACCTGCATGTCTGAAAAATTTAAGTAGTATACACTAAATTGGGATGCCGCTTAGCTTGTGATTATACTAGCTCTCCATATGCTTTGAAACGTAACAACATAGTAGATGCCGCTAAACGGCAGAATGAGGTAATTAGGTGCAGTAAAAAGCCTTAGAATCAAGATATTTAGATATCAAACTGGAAGTAGTGTAAAATAGGAAGAAAAGGGTTCGTTAATTTTGTATATGTTTTTAAGTTACAATATAGATCTTGTACATAGTCTTAAATGAAAATTCTTGTTGTAGTTGAAGAAGTTATTTTTCATTGCCCCTAAGTAGGTATACGATTTAAGTATAATAAAATAGTATTTCGGTAATAATAAAGTCGGGAATTGAAAATAAGTACTATTAAACGCGAGTTTCATTTTATAGTATTGAACCGTAAATTTCACCATCTATAAATTACCTTAGTTAAGAGGCCCTATGATAAATCATATTGTAAGCCGTAAATGAATTTCTATTAAAATATAAAAACTGTTGGATTTTAAGCTGGTTCTCCTTAAGACTTAGATTGGTTTGAAATACGTACGGTCCTGAGCAACCTGTATCCATCGACTTCCTGCATGTCTTGCCAGGTCGTCATTCCATCATGTTAATATTATTACTGTACTAGCTTGCCAGGCAGACGTTGTTCTGCCCTTTTCGACCACTTTGTCATGTACTATTAATAATCCTTAAATTCGCAAAAAAATTGGATCATTCATGGGCAAAAAACTACCCTATCTTTCAAGCTGAACTAAAATGCACACGGTGTGCAAATTTGATTAAAATCGGTTAAGTAGTTTAGAAGTCCATCGCGGACAAACAACGTGACACGTAATTTATATATATTAAGATTAATAAATAGTGTATTTTGTTTAAACTCACAACATTAGCTGGCAGCACAGCGAGCGTGGCAGGCACGATCTGTGTTGCAAGTTGCAAGGGTTGCCACCCGCTGTAAACTCTCCCGGCGTTGCCGCTCTTCCAAACTGTGACGCCCACGAGACTGCCGTAATGGCCCATATACCTTACTGGTGTTGATACCGCATTACCCGGTAAAGGTTCCGATGTAGGCCATAAGAATTGTGATGATTTTACCGTCTCTGCAATTTTATGATAAAATATAATTAGCTAGTCTATGCTCACCTAACCTTTTATGTGGTCTTAATGATTCTAATTTCTTGAGTCAGAATTTCAACATATCTCCACATTGATTGGTGCCCAGAGCCACATTCTTCATAATTTCGGTGAAATTATTGAATTGGTTTCAATAATTATGAAAATTATAAAGTCTACAATTGCAAAATCATACTCTGTTTGACATATTCAACAAAATCGATAATTATATAACGTCATCATTTTTTTTTCCAAAGTGTGACGATTACATTATACATGACCTTTGCCGTGTTCATCTTAAGAAATATGCGTTAGCAGACACTACTAAGGGTCATTGAACAAGTGCTAAGTTCCTACAACGTCTTGCAGTCTGCCATGACTATACCGTGGGAAAGTTAAAGGTGAATGAATTCGCCATTAATATTTATACCGTATCTATTGCAGGCCGTAGCTTGAAAACATCTTCCAATTGAGCGGTGAAAAGACGTGGGAATAAAACGTCATCCCTTTTTATTTTTGTAGAATAAGGGTGACAAACGAGCAGTCTGAAGAACAGTCCACCCGATAGTAAGTGGATGCTGTAGCTAATAGACATCTACATCTATCCTCTTTTAAAAATTAAATGCGGATGCGTTGTTACCTTGAGGACTAAGATGGAATGTCTTGCTTCCAGTAAAAAGGCTCTCTACTCGCACCACACGAAACACAGCAGCTTTGTCACCCCTGAGGACTAAGATGGAATCTCTTGCTTCCAGTAAAAAGGCTCTCTACTCGCACCACACGAAACACAGCAGCTTTGTCACCCCTGAGGACTAAGATGGAATGCCTTGCTTCCAGTAAAAAGGCTCTCTACTCGCACCACACGAAACACAGCAGCTTTGTCACCCCTGAGGACTAAGATGGAATGTCTTGCTTCCAGTAAAAAGGCTCTCTACTCGCACCACACGAAACACAGCAGCTTTGTCACCCCTGAGGACTAAGATGGAATGTCTACCTTCCAGTAAAAAGGCCTCTATCGCACCACACGAAACACAGCAGCTTTGTCACCCCTGAGGACTAAGATGGAATGTCTTGCTTCCAGTAAAAAGGCTCTCTACTCGCACCACACGAAACACAGCAGCTTTGTCACCCCTGAGGACTAAGATGGAATGTCTTGCTTTCAGTAAAAAGGCTCTCTACTCGCACCACACGAAACACAGCAGCTTTGTCACCCCTGAGGACTAAGATGGAATGTCTTGCTTCCAGTAAAAAAGGCTCTCTACTCGCACCACACGAAACACAGCAGCTTTGTCACCCCTGAGGACTAAGATGGAATGTCTTGCTTCCAGTAAAAAGGCTCTCTACTCGCACCACACGAAACACAGCAGCTTTGTCACCCCTGAGGACTAAGATGGAATGCCTCTTTCCAGTAAAAAAGGGCTCCTCGAACACTCCACCACACGAAACACAGCAGCTTTGTCACCCCTGAGGACTAAGATGGAATGTCTTGCTTCCAGTAAAAAGGCTCTACTCGCACCACACGAAACACAGCAGCTTTGTCACCCCTGAGGACTAAGATGGAATGTCTTGCTTCCAGTAAAAAGGCTCTCTACTCTGCACCACACGAAACACAGCAGCTTTGTCACCCCTGAGGACTAAGATGGAATGTCTTGCTTCCAGTAAAAAGGCTCTCTACTCGCACCACACGAAACACAGCAGCTTTGTCACCCCTGAGGACTAAGATGGAATGCCTCATTTCCATTAAAAAAGGGTCTCCGGAGTGTAGAGACACTCACCATACGAAACACAGCAGTATTAAGCTGCTATTTCACGCTCGTATTCTGTAAGAGAGCGTGGTTTCTTCCCCGGTCGAGCCGACGTATTCGTGCTACAACCATAATATAGCTGCAGCGTGGCTCTAACACGTATAAACCCTGTTTAACATCTCTGCAGTTGGATAAGTTTTGTACACGGTTTACGATATCCATCATAGCTTTTCTGTACAAAGACTTCAGCACTTTTTACGTGGTAGAGCCGCGCTGCAGCTATTTTATGGTTATAGGACTACACTCACAGAATACCAGAATAATGCGGCTGTGTTTCGTATGATGAGAAGCGGAGACCCTTTCAACTGGTAACGACGCGTTCCATCACCGTCCTTAGAGGTGACAACGCATCTGCGTTTTTGATTCTTAATTGACTTACCATCAGCTGAACTACTTATGTGCTTGTTTGTCGCTCTCATTCTATAAAAAAAATTCAATACGGGAGGCTCATATGCAGCAATGGACTGTTACAAGATAATAGTGTGGAACCATAAGAATTAATAACTCACCAAAACTACTCGGTAAATAAACAAATCCGTAGTTCTTCAGTATCTGAACGCACGTGTTCGCTAAAAACGAGGCAAGCAACAGTACAGCGAAAGTGAACGCAATAACGCACAGACTCTCGCGCTGTAGCACCTTGCTGGTCTTATTCTTTGTGTCCTTGTGTGAAGTCAGTTGCATTATACAGGGGCCCAATAAGCCCCAGGTGAGAAAGGTTTCTTGGGCTGCTGCGGCCCAGCTCTGAAATCACCGCATACATCAAGAAACAGTTTAAATTAGACTTGCAACAAATAGTATACATATTCGGCCACATGCCGCATACTGAATGTTCTGCGGGCTTCCAGTCGAATAGAAGTGAAGTGAGCCGTGGTAGCTCAAATGGTTAACGCTCGCTGTAAATATAACCGAACGCGAGTAACCAGGGTTCGATCCCCGCCGGCACCAATGAAATTGTTAATTGCAATTTTAAGTGCTGATATACCACGTGCTCGGCGGTGAAGGAAAACATCGTGAGGAAACCTGCATGTCTGAGGAATAAGAAAAAAAATATTTCGAAGACATGTGAAGTTCGCCAACACGCATTGGGGCAGCGCGGCGGACACTTCCTTGCCCTAAAACCCTAAAAAATGAGGGGAGGTCTGTGCCCAGCAGTGGGATGTATATAGGCTGTAACTTTACTTTTTTTCCAGCCGAATAGCCAAATATTAGGCAAAAGTATTCGGGAAGTAGTGTTTATTCAGAGCGTCTATTCTCTAAAGATGGGATTGTCTACGAGAAGAAAAGATGTAAGTTACTGCCTTAAAATGCAGAAAAATTAGTCTTTCTGCACCATTATCTTCTATTTTAATTGCGATAATTCGAGTGCATACATTTATCAGATAGTTATTTTTTCAATTTTTATGGTACAGAAGTTGATTATGTACTTATCTATGACTACTTTAATGGTTACAAGAAAAAAATATGTAAAAACTTATTATAAATTTATTATAAACATGAGCCCTGGTAGGTCAGTGGCTAAGCGCTCGCTGTGAATTTTACAGTACGCGAACAACTCGGTGCTTCGATACCCGCCGCCACCAATGAAATTGTTTGTTGTAATTTTAAGTGCTGATTTACCATGTGCTAGGCGATGAAAGAAAACATCTTGAGGAAACGTACACGTCTGAAAAATAAAAATAAAAGTTCGCCAACACGCATTGGGGCAGCGCGGCGGACATTACCTTGCCCTAAAACCCCCTCAGAACTGAGAGGCTGCCTCTGCCGGGACGGTATATAGGCTGTAACTTTTAACTTAAATAAATATTTTCATTTTACCAATTGCCTGACCACAATAAAATTTCTTACGTATGTATTCAGTATCCAGCCGAATAGTACCGAGATATTCGGTAATCGACCGAATGGGATAAAAGAAGCTGAATAGGCTGAATACCGAATGATAGCCGAATATTCTTTGCAAATTTAGTTTTAAATGTATTTGTGAAACACAAGAAATGAAAAAAAAATACTTCGTCTTATGGAGAGTCTTGTGACAGGTTTTTAGGTGCCACTTATTTTTTTAACTGTCTCCATTCTATTACAGATAACCAAAAGTCCACAAATTATATCTCATCATTTTAATATTTTCGATACGAAAGTTCACACAATGTAATATTATTAAAAGTACTAAAATACGACTAATTGCGACTCTTATGTTTATGATTAAGAGGATACCTTGAAAATGAATCGTAGTTTTGAGGACGTGGCTTATTCCTTTGTCGGTGAAGCTCACGGACGACTGAGGGAGTGTCAAAATGAAAGTGATGCAATGACTTCTTAATACGCAAATTATGATATAGCTATACCGAGCACACGCTCGAAAAAAAACTAAGTAATCGCCAAACAACGTTTTTATTTTTTTAACAAAACTACTTAATGGATGAAAAAAGTGGTTTATGAGAACTTAGATATGACTATTTACCATGCCTTAAAAATAATTCCATGAACTTATTAGTAAAAATATTGTGATGTCATGGAGAAATGTAAATAATTACAGCCTACTTTGCAATTTTTTTTTCTATCGAGAAAATTTCATGATATCGTGTTTTCCTTTTATGTAATCCAAGGTTATATAGTCAAAAATTATATACCAAAATTTTGGTTTGTAATCTACAAAGCTTAAAAAAATATGTGAAATAGAAAAACCACTAAATTTTCGAGGAAATTATTAAGCTTTATTTGCAACTTAAGTAAACTTAACTTACTTGCTTTACTTTTATTTTAAGTGTTGATTTACTTTTGATTTAATTAATTCGTGCGGTGAGGAAGCATATCGTGAAGGAACCTGTATTTCTAAGAAATTCAAAAAATCGAAGATATGAAGAAACCCTTTTTACTGGAATCGAGGCATTCCATCTTAGTCTTCAGGGGTGACAACGCATTTGTATTTTGATTCTTAATTGAGGATAAATGTCATGGGTCATTATCTATGGGCCACAGCATCCACTTACCATCAGGTGGACCGTGTGCTCGTTTGTCACCCAATGCTATAAAAAGTAACAAAGTACATACACATATACCTTTTTACGTATTTAATTGGGGCAGCGCGGTGAACACTTATTTACCTTAAAATTAAAATCCTTTCAGATATGAAGAAAGGCGTGTGCACAAGAGTTTGACATAATAGGCGGTAATTTTACTTTTTGCTTTCGTCTATGTAATAGGTCAAATGTCATTGGATAACCATCTACTAAATGAAAACTATTTTAGCATTCTTTACAAATTCAAATCACAGTTTATATTTTGTATTTCGTTGTACAATTCATATTCAATATGATCTAACACGTGTAAGTACATTAACATACATTACTATTGATGAAAAATTCACTCCATTCAGTCTCCGAAAAGATATTAGTGACACTGTCATAGGGGATGAGCGTAAGCAGCTTTGTACACAACACAAGCGTTCCGCATATCGGCAGGAATATCAGCATGTATACAGCCTGCAACAAACACGTGGCATTACAAGTGGAGAAAATAAAAACTCGTCAAAGTCGATATCAATTATATGTGCCGTTTATTTTTAGCACAACTACGGCTTGACCGGGGAAGGACCGCGCTCTAACAGAATACCAGCGTAAAATAGCAGCTTAAGAGGATACCTTGAAAATGAATCGTAGTTTTGGAGGCGTGGCTTATTCCTTTGTCGGTGAAGCTCACGGACGACCGAGGGAGCGCGTCATTGCATCACTTTCATCAAAATGAAAGTGGCAATGACGCGCAATGCAATGAAAGAATGATGCATAATACGCAAATTATGAGATAGTTATACCGAACACACGCTCGGAAAAAAACTAAGTAAGCGCCAAACAACGTTTTTATTTTTGTAACAAAACTACTTAATGGATTAAAAAAATAGTTTATGAGAACTTAGATATCATTATTTACTATGCCTTAAAAATAATTCCACGAACTTATTCGTAAAAATATTGTGGTGTCATGGAGAAATGTAATTAATTAGAGCCTACTTTGCAATTTTTTTCTATCGAGAAAATTTCATGATATCGTGTTTTTCTTTTATGCAATCCAAGATAATATAGTCAAAAATCATATACTTACCAAAATTTTGGTTTATAAACTTAAAAAAATATGTGAAATAGAAAAACGACCAAATTTTCGAGGTATCACCTTAACGCCGCTGTGTTTTTATGGTGAATGTAGAAAATCGATGATCCTTTTTATGACATGTGCTACTTCAGGCGTAGTCTATACGCACTGAGAGCACATTACTAAGCACAGCTAGAGCAATCACCTACTATCAGGTGGACTGTGTGATCGTTTGCCACCCTTATACTACAAAAGAAAAAGTACGTACCTTGCCATACGACCTTAAACCCTTGCTCAGGGACACGAACACAATCATCCACACGACGGCCAGGTTGAATGCGACTTGAAACTTTATCGTCCCGAAGTTGTTGTATGAGTCACTATTCCTCTGCAAAACTTCTCCGTGAAAATACTGCGGCAGAGTCTCCTGGATTTTTACTGTGCTGTTTTTTAAATTTACTTCTGCAAAATAAGAACATATTATATAATATAAATGTACGGCTACAATAAAACAAAAATAATATCGGGAGAGATCTGAATTGAGAAACCAGGAAACAGGGATTAGCACCCTGAAGACCTATTTGCTAACTTTGTTAATAATGAAGTGATAGTCACTCCATCCATTGCCTATTCTAAGGTGGGTGTATCATGGAAGGCCACTCTAACAAATAAACAGTTATAATTCGTTTATTTACTGGATAAATGAAACCAACAAGTATTTAAGTAATACTTTGTTTTATTACATAACATATAAACCACTTTTTAAAATTGCAGATTTAATCAATATTGATTGAACTTAAGTTTTGGCCTTGCTAGGAACAAGGTTCCTTAGAAGGCCATTATAATAAATCAGTCATTTAACACTAAAGTTTAATAAATAGCGATTAAATCTACAATAAAAAGAAATGGTTTATATGTCACGTAATAAAACAAAGTATTACTTAAATATTTGTTAGTTTCATTTATCCATTAAATAAACGAATAATAACTGTTTATTTGTAGAGTGGCCTTCCATGGTACACACACCCACGTCGATTCCCAAAATCAATGAAGCGAGGAACCGTACTGCCAAAATAGTAGCGCGAGCGATTCGCCGCCGTCTTTGATTTTCAGTTCGATGGGTGTTTGTGTAAGTAGAATGAATTTGTCATCAAATGGCAATAACTACGAAATTTTAATAATTGGCCTTCGAAGGAGCATGGCCTTCCATGGTCCATGCTCCTACATTTAATATAACATACGGCACAATGTACTACAGTGACCAAAATTTGGGAATAGAATACGGCTGCTTATGCGTTCACCAACAAATTACACTGTTATTATTTTTATACATACATGAGCCTTAAATAGTAGTCTCATAAATAAAATAAAAATTAAACAAAAATGTTTGGGACACATGTAATAATATTAAATCTATAGAGTGGACAAGCTTTAAATCAAAGCTTCAAATTCAGTACTACTATTTGTGAACAAGGGCATTATTGAATGAAATCGCAATTAATTTATAATATTACTATAATCATTATTTTACTCAACTACATTTGGCTCAAGGTTTTTAAAATAGTTGTATCACTTGCTCGGCAGCCATTGAACACCGTGAGGAAATCTGAATGTCTGTGAAATTACTAATGTTTCATGTACTTGTGTAGCACTCCACATTGGAGCAGTGCGGGCAGCCTTCCAGACGTCGATAACACAATCAAAAATGTGAAGCCTGTGCCTGTTCTGATATAGTTTATATACTGTTGTTACAATTAACAACTTTTAACTAATTACCATTTTACAAAAATGCCTATCCATTTTAACGTCAAAGTTAAAAAGTTAGGAAAGCTTGGGAGACATGGCTTTCTGCGCCGTGGTAGCTGAAAACGCATCTGAGCCGTGGTACCTGAGAGCAATCCATTTTCGATCCCCGCCGGCACCAATGAATTAGTTTATTGCAATTTTAAGTGTTGATTTAGCACATGCTTCATCGTATCATCACAGAACGTAGACCTCCCCCAAGGAATGCCACAAATCACGGGCCAGAGCCACCTGCATCCATCGACTTCCTGCACTACCAGAAGAAATCCACATGTTTGCAGAGTAAAATATTGCGAGCTCAAGTTAAGTCTGCCATTACGCACTGAAGTAGCACGGCGGATTAATTGACTCATAGCCCACTCAGAAATGGGGTATAGAACACGGCTGGTTGTAACTTCACTATTGTCTTGGCTATTACGCCGCGCGTCTTGACTTTTAGAGCAAACCAAGCAGTGGCGGATTATCTTTAAGGTAAACTAGGCTACCTAGGGGTGCAAGGTTACAAAGGGCGCGCGTGGCGCAAAGTAATTAAGTAATACTTGCATAAAATATAGCTAATTTCTGTAGAGACGTAGAGTTTACAGCGCGCCCTGTCTACTTGATTACATCCTACATCGCCCTCACTCTCTCATCACGTTTTACATGCATGTCTACCTATTTATTACCTTTCCTAATTAATTTGCAACTAACTATATTATAAATGTGGCGGCGCTGTCGTCGCGCCACAAGCGAAACACACCGTAGCCTAAATCGCGCTATCAAAAGTTCCGAATCATAAATAGTATATATAGGACAGCGCCGAACTATCACACGGAGTGTTGGCCGCTCCCCGGGCAGAACACCTTGCCCGGCGGAAGATCTCCCTTTTCCCTTCTACGGCCACAGTGGTGACTAACCGACATGATCTGAACACGCAACCAAACAACCTTCGGAAACTACAAGTTCAAGCCTTCGTCGTTGTCCTCAAGAACCCCTACCATTCACTACTGAGAATCGTCTTCTGCAGTCTTCAGTACCTGCAAGCCAGTCCAACTTGTCTTCATCTCGACTCACCGCAGATTTATAAGGCAGACTTCTGGCACTTGCTCCGGCACATCGTTCTCACCGGCATCACTTGCCAGTGCGTAGTACGGCATGCATTACACATCGGCATATCATTCGCACCGGTGTCACTTGCCCTTACGTACACAGCATGCATTACCCACCGGCATTAAGGACTCACCGGCGATCGGACTGCACAGTCGACCTCCGGTCTGAGCAGAGGGGTGATGTGGCAAAGGCGGCGCTGTCGTCGCGCCACAAGCGAAACACACCGAAGCCTAAATCACGCTATCAAAAGTTCCGAATCATAAACAGTATATATAGGATGGCTCCGAACTATCACACAGAGCGTTGGCCGCTCTCCGGGCATAACACCTTGCCCGGCGGGCGGCGGGAGATCTTCCTTTTCCCTTCTACGGCCACATAAATTATGTTTATCATAGTTTATTTACAAAACAAATAGTTATAATTTATACCTAATATATGGCCGCCAGAGAGGCGCGGATGAGGTGCTAACCTATAGCGCTGCCGACATTTAATCCGCCTTTGAAGCCAAGACTTCTTAGTTATTACCTTTTCCTCTCGATTTCTGTGTCTGACACTGCATCCTAGCATATATCTAGTTTAAACTGCAAGCGCTACATTAACCTCTGTGTTTGCACGAAAACTTGTGGCACTTTAATATGCATTGCTCAGAAATTCCTTCCGATTACTGTTTTTTTAACATCTCTCGTATAGAGATGTGTCGTCTAAGGTAAAAAAAAATATGTGTCAAATGTAATAAATAAAATAGGATAGTTGTTATATAATGAAGATGAAAAGTAATAACTTTATTTTATAGAATAAGGGTGACAAGTTAGCATACAGTTCACCTAATGGTAAGTGAATCCTGTGGTCCATAGATATCTACATTCATCCTTGATTAAGAATAAAAACGCAGATGCGTGGTCATCCCTGAGGACTAAGATGGAATGCCTCATTTCCGGTAAAAAAGGGTCTCCGATCTCTACACTACATAGCAGTATTAAGCTGCTATTTTACGCTGGTATTCTGTGAGAGCGTGGTCCTTCCCCGGTCGAGCCGTTCAATTCTTGCTACAACCATAATATGGCTGCAGCGTGGCTCTATCACGTATATTTGTTGAAAATTTATACTTTTACTACTTTTGGTTACATAATATACTTTGGTTTTGGTAAAAACCAGTCCTGGGAAGAACCAGAAGAACAATTTTTTTTAATCATATTACTGTAATATATAATTAAATATAAAACAAATTAGAAACAGCATGGTAGCGAACACGTTATTCCCAGTCAACTATATGTAGGTATTCTTTGAAGAAAACTAAAGGTCGCGTAATAATATTTTAAAAAATATATTTAACCCTACAGTCTAAGTTCGTAAATCACTAATCCTTGAAACGCAAAGAAAGAATTGATGTATATACATATCAATGTCAATATTTCGATAAGTATTATCTTGATAAAAACTTTGTACATTGTTATCTTAACATAAATAAACTCTTTGATAAATATTACATCCCTTACAACATTCATCTTTATCTACAATAGATAAAAAGACACAAAAAATCAACAAACCACTAGATATTACGCGTTATAGACTTAATATCGCGTGTATTTTGTAATAAACAATCAATGATATATGTTATACATGCTATGGACATCAATATACAATTATTGCTTAAGATAATTCCTGAATAAATAAAAAGACGATTGGCAATTAGTTTGTTCTCTATATGCTTTGTATGAAGATTTTTATTTGTTTAGCAATAAGTTTGATGCTTAAGGATACACTAGTCGCTCATTCTTCCATACAAACGTAGTCTGGCGATTACTCCACTGTTTGATGGTGTACGTTCAAAATAAAAAATGATTTCAATTTGTCTAATCATTATCTAGCCCAGTATAAAACAAAAAAGAATATATTTAAAAGTACTAATTTTAACACATGTTTGGGCGGAAATAAATACCATAAGAAGAACGAAAATTGCAAAACAGTTACCATACAGGGATAGATTGTGCTAAAAATTGCAAATAATTTTATTTTGAACAGATACATTCAATAGATTTTTCATGATATCCAGATTCCCAAAGGTCTTTTTATAACATTTTGCGCGCTAGTTTCGTTCTAAATCATTATGCCTTTCGCCTTCGCACGTGATGTCGGCTGAGATAGAATGCATTTTAACCCCGCCCACCACTTAGTTCTCGCCATTGACTAGGGCCACCTTAAATATTTGAAACCCACAGTTTCGTACAGTTGCACGAAAACGCACCATGTGGACCAGCGCGTTCTCATGACGGAGTAACACCGCTTTCCTCTGTTTTTGCTATTACTACGTAGTACTATTATTTATTCTGTGCTATTACTGTTACTAGTCCTTGGCCGACGACTTAAAAAATACTTATGGGATGTTTTTGCGTGCTAGGTCAGCGGTGTTCCGCGTACTCTTCCTGGATTCATAGCCTTCTCAAAAAATATGAGTAAAATAGTTTTCCAAATTCAAATTTATTTACTTGTGAATACAGGTGACAGAATAAATGGTTTTAAGTTCCCTCCTTTTTATTTTTAAAATATTTAACCTCATATTAGGTATTTTTCCTGTGCCGTGGAGACGTACACGTATACATAACACATGAACAAACACCCAAAATAGTAACAATTATTTTAGAAGGCTATACAAACACCGTTTGCGAGAATTGAACCCGCGCGCGAGGAGAGGTTAATGTTTTAATTTCATTCAACATGCCATTAACTAACGCTAATCACGTTTAAGTGTCGCAAGACTGAAATTGTTACAATTATGTTGCAGGAACAGTTGAATTGCAAATAATTTTACCGTTCTATACGCTTACTTTGCTCAAATGCGAAATGTTTAAATACGGAACCTAAAAATCCAAAAATGCACTCGAGTTGAACTAAGTTGACGTAACTCAGACGTAACAGTTAAATAAAAAAATGTTAACGTAATGTCAATCATACAACCTTCCTCGTGTGCTCCTATTTGCATTACCAGTTACTACACCAAGACTAAGTAAAGTAAAATGTAAAGAAAGAAAAGAACTCAATGAACTTTGTCTTTTTAATCAAGCGTACTTATAAAGTAAATCGGATTAATTACATAATAACATTTTCACAAAGACCTTCAAAACATATTTCCTGCATTTTTTGCTTCTCGATTTAAGCATCATAAAACCTTTAGATCATGCGAAATTACCTACTTCAGATTAACAGGTAAAAAATTACAGTTTAAGTTTTTTCACAGTGGAAAACATAATAACAATGTAATCACAACAAATATTGCTCATGTTATGCATTTTAAGTAATTATCATACCGCTTTCGTTTTCGTTGATATAAATTAGACTACTTTCGATCTTTTAATTAGGTTTTTATTAACATTTAACAACCGTCTCTATTCAGATTTCGATAAGGCCGCCCATTGTACCTACCACATTTCTTTTGAAATCAAATTTATATATTTTTGACGTACAATAAAGTGTTATCTATCTTTCTATCTGTTTCGCCTGTTCTTTCTTATATATGCATTTTTAATTTCCTTTATAAAAATCATGTTGCGGTAGTCTTATTGAACTAATGCGGCTATATATATATATATATATATATATATATATATATATATATATATATATATATATCATAAAAATAAGTGCCCATGAGGTTCATGAGCTAGCAGAGCAGCGTATGGGTATGGGATACTCCTTTTTTTATAGAATAGTGTGACAAACGAGCACACAGTCCACCTGATGGTAAGTGATTGCTGCGGCCCATAGACATCTACATCTATCCTCCATTAAAAATCAAAATGCAGATGCGTTGTCACCCGTGAGGACTGAGATATGCCTCGTTTCCAGTAAAAAGGGTCTCCGGTTCTCTATACTCACCATACGAAACACAGCAGCATTGAGCTACTATTTCACGCTGGTATTCTGTGAGAGCGTGGTCCTTCCCCGGTGGAGCCGAGCCATTCGTACTACAACTATACTACTAATATAACTGGAGCATGGCTCTACCACGTATATGCTATAGTCCTTGGAATTCACGAGTGCGGTCGACCTTTGGATGTGGTTCGACATGTACATGCACAATGTGACGTCGTGACAATATCGAACCACATCCAAAGGTCGACCGCACTCATGAATTGCAAGAACCATATGCATGTTAAGATTACTTGAGGTTGTTAAAGGGAAACTTAGTAATGGTATTATTATTTTAACTAAAAAACCACTTTGTAACCGCAATGACATTTAAAAAGTATGGATATGTTAAGCGCTAAGCTAATTAACAGGTTTTCCTCTAACAATCTAGCAACAAAGTCGTTTATATCTCCGCGATAAAAATATTTCAAAGCCTTTCGTCACGCAAATGTGTCGTAACTATGACAGGCAGAGGAGAAAATTATAGTTACCTTTTGTGTCCAACTATACTAAATTATCCAATAAAGTTTCGATTCCACAAAAATACTTTTACACAGCATTTTCTACATGAAAATAATAATTTTGTTTCTGTTATGTTTTAAAAATTTACTTGTATGTATAGTTGTCGAAGTTCTACAGAGGTCCGTTCTCTTCGCAACTCTATTCCTGCTGCATATGCCTTATGCCCGGTATCTGTGGGTACGCAGCTGACATCACAGTAGTGGAGAGACATCAGCTGCGTGCTCGAACCAAGGGAGATCAAATTCAGTCTAAAAAAGAAGCCATGGCTGAGCATGTGAATCTCTCACTGATGGTAGTCTCAGAATGGGGCGATGCCGATTTCGTAAGATTCAACGCATCCAAAACACAAACATATAACACGCAAGAGCCAGATCACCTTCAGATGCAGCGGTTCACCAGGTTACCTGGAACCTGAACTTTGAGAGCTTCATTATGTCCAGGGCAAGTTAAGCGTCCTTGCAAAAATGCGGCGATACTTCACACCGGGACAGTTGTTTGCAACATATAAAGCGTCGTCCATGGAGTATTGCTGCCATATATGGGCTGGTGTTGCAAAATGCCACCAAACGGCTTTGGACTCAATTTAAAGGCGTGCTAAAAGTCTTATTGGTGACACCAACATGGTTAGAACCAATCTTATCAGTGTCAAGCATAGGCACAAAGCAGCCAGCCTTTCAGTTTGTTGTTTAGGCAGGAGTTGCATGACTTAATTCCTCCCTCTCTATTCTATCATCGGACCAACAGACTCTGTGCTGGTCTCCATTCATTTTTTTAACATACCACGCATTCGAACCAAACAGTTTGTTTCGTCGTTTATAATGCGTAGAGCAAAGTAGTGGAATAATGTAATCGTAAAAAATAAGCGTAATAATTTGTTTTCCCATTCAACTACAATGTTAAGGCTTTTGTTAAGCTTTTTCTGTGTATAGCATTAGGTGACAAAAGAGCACACAGCCCACCTGATGGTAAGTGGATGCTGTGGCCCTTCGACGTTCACATTTATCCTCAGTTAAGAATCAAAATGCAAATGCGTTGTCACTCCTGAGGACTAAGATGGAATGATGCCTTGATTCCAGTAAAAAGCTTAGTCATTGTCCTTCATTATCTTCGGCTGCATCACCATTTACTATCAGGGTGGGATAGTAGTGAAGCACTGGCCAATAACCTTTGAAAAAATATCTTTAAAATGGTTTGTTAACTGTCTCGTATCTTTCACTGATAGTTACTCGTTTGTAACTAATATCAGTGAAGCCCTAAGAATAGTTTTTCCTGTACAAAGTTACTACTCCTTTTACTTTTTTAAGAATCAGTTTCTAGCCGCAAATATTAGTATTAAGTTTCAAAGTCATGAGTCATGACCCGCTACTTAGGGGTTCAATTCGAGTATAGTAATAACATGCCCAAACATTTCATAAATCGGTTTTATATAATATTGGCGCTTGCCCGCGGCTTCACTCGCGTGGAAGCTGGTAGATAACATCATTTCGAAAAATCACAGCAAATGTGTTACATAATTGCGTTCTAGATCAATAATTTCGGAACCGTGCATTTATGATTTATCCAGGATAAAAGTAGCCTATTTCACGTTGCTGCGTAAAAAACCAACAAACACACTTTCGCATTTATATAATCAGTAGGGATGTACAATATCATAAATCATGACACTCACCTTCAGAATTAAATTCATGCGGCAGTGCCCACTTGTACTTATCGTCAGCTGTGATAAAGGAATCTCGAAAGTAAACGAATATCCACGATAGTCCGATAATGCTGTAGATGCCAATCACTGCTTGTGTGATGAGCAACGAAATGCCAACACCTTGGAAAATTGGTGAAATACGCCACATGTCAACAGGTCCCGACTCTAGTACTTGACCAAGACATAAATGCAGAGTAAATAATGGTATCCCAGTAAAAAGTGAAAGTATAAAAAACTGTAGAATGAAGCTGGCTGCAAAAGAATTTTTTTTACCTTTACGTGTTATCAAAATAAAAATAATAATATATCATAATATTATTAAATGTCAAAGTAAAAGTAATAACATCACTCTATAATTTTAACAACAATCTATAATTTTACCATTCAATAATTCTTTTATTACAATATTTTCTTTTTTTATCTCTCACTCACCTCCATAATGCACGCTAAAAATGGCAAACCTAGAAATATTGAATATTCCAACAGTACAACTAAGGCAAGCCAACATTGAGCTCATACGATGCGGCCAAACCCCAAAAGGGGGTTCTTCAGTGTCTTCATTTCTGAAATAAATAAAGCAAATTTAATTTTTACTTATAAAAACATGATTGACACACAGCATACTGGAGTAAGTACTCGCCGTATATTTTATTTTACACGAATATCGTAACAAGTTCAATCCCTGAAGATGACATTGTAATTGCTAATACAATTTCAATGTATATTTAGCATGTGAATGGCAGTAATGTTTTAGCAGGATTTTTTACCTGCATGTCTGAAAAATATTTCGAGAATATGTGATATCCACAAATAGGCACAGAATGTTGGCCAAACGCTTAAGACAAAAAATAATAAAAAACCTGTGCCCAGCAGAAGGTCCTATGTAGGCAGTAACTTAACTTTTTAAACATAACATACTTTTGGTTAGAGCCGTGGTAGCTCAGATGGTTAACGCTCACTGTAAATATAACAGAACGCGTGTAACCCGGGTTCGATTCCCGCCGGCACCAATGAAATTGTTAATTGCAATTTTAAGTGCTGATATACCACGTGCTCGGCGGTGAAGGAAAACATCGTGAAGAAACCTGCATGTCTGCAGGCAATTATTCAATAAGAAAATAAAATATTTCGAAGACACGTGAAGTTCGCCAACACGCATTGGGGCAGCGCGGCGGACACTTCCTTGCCCTAAAACCCTCCCAGAAATGAGGGGAGGCCTGTGCCCAGTAGTGAGACTTATATAGGCTGTAACTTTACTTTTTTTTTACTTTTATACTTTTGGTTTCAATAGTTGGTTTGGTGTAAGTAATGAGTTTAAGTAGTAGGTTTTCTTGCTGGTTCTTCCTAGTACAGAAGTTTTTTCGAACCAATGCTTTTACATAAATGACTTTCAATATGTATTGTTGTTATCTATATTGTAAAGCCACCTATCAAGCATAGCTAATAAGGCCCCATAAGTAATAAATAAAAGACCATAAGTCACTAGTATCCCTGCTATTCTTGGTTTCAGTGGTGACCATTTTTTTATAGAATAAGGTGATAAACAAGCACACCTGATTGTAAGTGAATGCTGTGGCCCATAGTCATCTACATTTATCCTCAATTAAGAATCAAAATGCAGATGCGTTGCCATCCCTGAGGAGTAAGATGTAATGCCATTTCCGACCATGGGCGCAGATTTGAAAAAAATTGCTGGTGACAGCGGATTACCCTAACTATTGATGCACAGTAGAAATTATTGGAAAATCGCAAATTGGTGTAGTTACCATGCAACAACACACAAACTCAGTGATGACAATGCACTGGTAACCTTCTTTGTTTTAATTTTGTTACAGTAGTTCATGGTCTGATGTGGCCACTTACCATTAGTCATCACTTTTAATCCTATAAAAATGTAATGTTTTGTTTTCAATTAAGAAATTTCATTTTTGCAAGTCAGAAGTAAAAAAAAATAAAGTTCGACGTTAAAAATCGTTATAAATTCATCCTTATAGTTGTAGTACGAATGGGTCAGCTCACCTAAAGTAGAACCACACTCTCACAAAATAACAGAACAGGATACTATTTTTAATGGAAACAAGGCATTCTATCTTAGCCCTCAGGGATGATATGACATCTGCATTTTGATTCTTAATTGAGAATAAATGTAATAATAATACTCGTAATAATGTCCTCCAGACGGAATTTCGGCCACGGCGGCCTGCCTCAACGGAGACTCGCCATCGGCGCAGGACAAGATTATAGTGCCAAGTGTATGCGCAAGCACAGGTGCACTCTCTATTCCCTCACTCTCGTAATCCGATGGGACGGTAAACCGACACGACCAGGAGAGAGATCAGGCGCAGGACCAACGGCTTTACGTGCTTTCCGAGGCACGGGGTTGAGACACCGTCAACTTCCTAACTCCGGGCAGCTACTGAGAATTTCTTGACAAAAAAACTCAATAACTTATTTTTTGGCCCTACCCGGGATTCGAACCCAGGACCTCATGATCAGCAGTCGCACTACTACAACCACTAGACCAACGAGGCTGCCGAGAGAATAAATGTAGAGATCTGTGGGCCACACCATCCTTTTACCATCTGGTGAATTGTGAGTTCTTTTGTTACCCATATTCTTTAAAAAAGAAATAACCTATTTATATACCATGGATGGATTACCACACCAGATGACACCATGCCTAGTCAGCAGCCATACAAAAAATTATTTTATAGAAACCAATGCACTGTTTAAAAAGCAGTCAGTGTTTGACCCACAGGTCATAGGTTCTCCATCACTGAGCTTGACTGTTAGCTCATTAGTCCCTTCAATGTAATAATTTATAGTCAACCAAATCTAAGAAATACATTTTGACAGCTGTCAGAATTATTGCACCAAGCATGCCTACCAAAAAATGGGAATGTAGAATATTCGATTCTTAAAAAAATCGATATCGATTATTTAGAGTTGCTAATCATTTACAGTTTGGTTTCAATAATACCAGCATAAACTATAAATTTAAGATTGAAACTAGTAGGGATGTCGTTGTTTATATTAATTATTAGTTGATTTTCAATAATGTAGTCAAAATTAATGTCTCTTTCAAAGTCATCCATAATCATTTTTTGTTTTTTCTACCACTTTTGCCCAATCATCCTTTGTGACATGGGCACATGCTTCAACGAATGTTTTTATAGCATTGGGTGACAAACGAGCAGTGGCGAAGCTAGAGCTCCAAACTAGGGTAAGCCCAAGATATAAATTGATAAAAATATAAATTGTTGTTTTTAGCAGTTTTCTTCTCTCCACGTAAAATGTTGGTTAACGTTTTAATTGTAACAATAACTGTTTTTTAATTGCGATAATTGATAAGTCTGAAATACACTCCTGACCTTGTGTATTGTCTTAACAAAGTTTAAAGATTTTATCTTTTCCTCTCCGATTAGCACTTTAACACACTTCATTTCATCACAAGGAACACTATTATCCTCCATTTTCACTAAAAACTTTAAAAAAGGATAAATTTTCAACTCACGATATTACATCACTGAAGCTAAACACACAGAGTAAATAAACATTGAAATGAACTGAACTTGCAAACATATTGCCCACGCGCCTAAAGCCTGGCTTTAAATCTCTATACTAATTGCTATATATACAATCATAGTTATATTTTATTATAGAATATTTTGCCATAGGTTAGAAAGAGAGCGATCGTCTTCTCGAAAGCCCTGTAAAAATCCCACGCGAGCGAGAGAGACAACTAATCGCTCTATTAAAACTCATTTTTTATGACAGCAACAGTATCGCTAAGGCAATACGAGGTCTTCGGTCAACCTGTGTCGAACAGTGGAGTGCGCGGGACATTTTGAAATAGTTTGAAACAGTTTACAAGTTATTTTATTAGTTGATATTATTGATTGATTCAGTTTGATAAGGCAAGCCAGGCTTTTCGGCTTCCATGGAGGTTTCGCCACTGCAAACAAGCACACAGTCCACCTGATGGTAAGTGGATGCTATGGCCTATAGACATACACATTTATCCTCAATTAAGAATCAAAATGCAAATGCGTTGTCACCCCTGAGGACTAAGATGGAATGCCTCGATTCCAGTAAAAAGGGTATCTGGTTCTCTACACTCACCATATAAAACACATCAGCCTTACGCTGCTATTTTACACTGGTGTTCTGTGAGACCGTGGTCCTGCCCTGGTTGAGCCGACCCATTCGTGCTACAACTATAATATAGATGTAGGGTGGCTCTACCATGTACAAAAAGTTATTTTAGAAGAAACAGTCCAAAAAGTTAAAGCTGAGTCACAAAATAAGAATACAAACACAAAATTACAAAATTACTCACAGTAAGCTCTCTAAACAGAAACAGAAACTTTTTTATTCAATATAGATTATGAATATAGATTATACTTATTGTAAGTCACTTTTTTCATTTACCACTGGTTCACAAAAAAATCTCTGTCCTGTTATTCATGATTCATGTAATTTAAGAAATTTTGAAAATAAAAATTAAATTAAACAAATAATACATTAAAGAAATTAATGATTCGATTATTTTACCGATTATTTGAATATTTTTACTATTATTCGCATAACAATAAATTTTAATCATTCAAAAACTACGGTAATATACATGTCATTGAAACGACGTCAAGTAAAAAAAGTTAATACTGGTTATTTTTTAATATTTTGCTTTATTTGAAAAATTCAAATTTAAATAAGTGATAAAAAAACTATACACATTGTAATGAAATATAGATAACTTCATAATTCTTCGGATTTACGTAAAAGGTTATTTTAAATCGTGTGAGTACGCTTGTGCAAAGTTATTGCGGAATGATTAATGTGAAACGTCAAAAGGTATTTCTTAGATTTGGTTGACTATAGAGAAAATTAAAAGAAATTAAAAAATTCAACTAACCCCTCTTCACCAAGCCCTGTAGCATTCTGATTCATAGCAGTTGTTATACCAGCCAAAGATTCACTAGACGAGCTTGACGTTGTACTTGTACTTCTTGCTGTACTTCTGGCAGTATGACAACCTGCCCAACCTGTCGTTGTGATGTCACTATCACCAGGAGACGGTAAAGACAATGTGCGGTTCATTAGCAGTGCCCTACGTCCTACTATCAATGGTCCAGATGATCCATTACTGCTTAAATTCGTAGCTGTCACTTGCAACTGTATTGGTGCACTAGTGGGTCTCATGTTAACATGATGTTCTAAAAAAAGAATAACCGGCAATGTTAAGGGTTCAATTGCAGTTTGTTCTGCATTAATGGCAGGTAAAACTATAGGATCTAGTCTCCTCATTGAATTCCTCAAATTCTCATTGATGGTGTCAACTCTCTCCAATTGTTGTGGCAACATACCCCTATGATTTTGAGGCAACTCTGTAAAACTTTTAGACCTCCTTAAACTAGTGAATTGAGTTTGTTCAATCAAGTTTTGTACTAAATTTGTATCATCCAAACAAAAATCATTTGGATTTTGAGTAGCAGCCCCAATTACTACTTGGGTATTATCATTCAATGAACTTTGGCTATCGGAATTTTCTGATGGTTCCTTAGGGTCAACTATACATTCTTTAATCTTACATATGAGATCCTCTTCGTCACTATCAAAGTTTTGTGTATCGTCAAGACAAGCTAATAGAGACTTATCTAAAACTTCATCTAAATCATTTAAGATGTCCATAAATTGACAAAGTGCTGTTGCTTGAAACTCTTCATCATTGGTGATGTCAGAGATATGTGATGAAAAATTAGAATCAGGTTTGTAGCATTCAGGAATAGTTTTTTGCAGATCTTCTCTTAAATCTTCCTCATCATCAGATGTTTTTTCACTTGCTTGTTCACTGTTTTTGTTGCTCCCTAATACACAGCCTGATGTGTCACTGTTAACACTACTTCCTGGTAAACTTTCCCTTTGCTCATACAGGCCATCATCCATGTTAACCACTTCCATTTTTATAGCATAGTCTAAGTCATACCTAGTTTTTTTTGGCTTAAACCCTAGAACAAAAAATCATGTTTTAAAATAAGTCATATCAACACACAAAAATTTTATCAAATAACTAAAGAAGACACAAACAGTTTTTATAAGCCACAAAATCCCACAATTTATACATGCTCAACACAAGACAAGGTAGATTTAAGTATGCACTAGCTAATAAAGCTAATTGTAATACCATCCATAGGAAACAAAGTGTTAGCACTATTATCACAGACCAGTGTTACATTTGAAAACAAACTGATTCATACATATTTATAATGCCCTTCTAACTCAATCCTTAATCATCAGCATCTATGGTATTACTTTACTTCCTATTGATTTTAAAAATCTCTTATAATGTACAATAGGTTTATGTCAACATATAACAATCAATACCATTTTTTATTGATTACAATGACCATTCATTCCAAATATTTAGAATTTCTACTTGTAAAATTTAAAATATAATAACATAAAGGTAAAAAGAGTGCATTTAATGCTTACAACCATATATGATGAAATTATGTAGGTAATTAAACAGTCATTAGGGTGAATATTTATTTTCTTCAAACAATGAGTAACAATGACTCCACATCTAATAAAAGTACAGTTGACCCGCAGTAATCTGACAAACACTTTGCAAGGCGCTGTCGGATTATCGAATTTGTCGGACTATAGAGTACTGCCACAGCACCCTGGTAGCCCGTAACTTTTTGAAAAAGAGTACCTTGTAATCTGACATATTACATATGAAATATAAAATAATAAAAAATAAAAATGTGATGTGATGCACAATGAATGCCCGCTAGACCGCTATAAGAGTCACATTTGAACTGAGATAGTAAGCGTCAAGCTGGATTAGTGGTGGCGAGAACTAATTGCAACCTGCTTGTCCACATTATCATGAAGGACACCTACCCCCGTGGCGGATTTATTGCGCGGCTCGAATCTACCTACAAGTTAAGGACATGTCGGATTACAAAGGGGGACGGATTAGCCAGGGGCCAGATTACCGGGGGTCTACTGTATCAAAAACATAATACTTCATTTCGCTATTGTCATTAGGTTAACAATGAATTATCTTTCACCTCCATTATGTCAACTCACTTATAACATTTCTATTCTGATAAACCACTACCAAAAACTCTATAAATACAAGTATCATAAGTCTAGTAGTCTAATAATTAAAAGTTGATGTAATGGTGACAAAAAATGGTGAAAAATGTTAACAGTAACCATTCAAAACTGCTTATCCAATTTCCAAATCATACAGGTAAATGACAGGAAAAGTATTTCCAATGGGAAGCTATCAGCTCTGCCTCACCAACCCCATTAGTCAGAATATCAGTATGATGAATATACCATTCAAGGAGGCCTAAGTAATTTACAGGTTATCAGGGATTCTATCTGTAACACACATTTATGTCAGTTACAATGGAACTTCAATACCCCAGACTTAAAACAAAAAGGGGTTTAGATTAATCTATGGTGGAGGCTTATGTTCAGCAGTAGATTTTTGATAGGCTGTAATGTTACAACATATAAAACAACAACATTTTTGTTCTACATGATTAAGAAAGTGTCATATAGATTTGTCTTCTCATAAATTATAATAATTTTTAAATTAAAAATAGTTTAAATGATTAGTCACTATTTAAAATTTTGAATAGGTAGTTTGCTTGGTTTGATCTTATACTATGAAATTTAACAGTGAATGCTTCACCCTGACACATGAGTAAAGAAACCAACCAGAGGTGAAGCTACATACAAACGGCTCGCTTAGACTATACCCATACATAGCGCAGTGATGTGTGCGTGAGTTCTCACCGATACTCTGTCGGGGTACAAACTCAGGCTCAGTCGGAGAATACAAAAAAGGGCTTATTGTGCACATTTAAATAAATGAAAGAACAATATTTCGTGATTTTATAAATCAATTATTTTTTTTTTACTATTAGAGCTAAATTTAGAGATTGTTTATTATAAAATAAGACATTATAGATTTATATAAGTAATTAATTAGTGTTCTGTATGAAGTATTGCATAACACTTGTACAGTATGTATAAAAATTCGAGAGAAAATAATACAATTGCCAGACAGTGGTGAAGGTGGTGTTAGTGGTAGTGGTGCTGGTGTTGGTGGCGGTGCTTGTAGTATCATTAGTGGTGGTGGGTAGTGAACCACCACCAACATCGCTGCCACTAAAACCATCAACACCACAACCACCGCCATTGCTCACTACCACTATTACAGCCATTACTACCACCACCTGATTTTTGTACTCATGAATACAATGTCTTACGAAAATAATATTGATAGAAATATATAATATTAAGCTTCTGTGATAATACCTATTTCCTTAAAATTCTATAATATAATAAATATTATATATAAGAAATATAATAATTCTATAAAATCTATAATAAAAATATTTCCTCAATATTTGCAGCTTTACCCTACAGCAAGATTCCATAAGACATAATACCATGAAAATTAGCAAAATATACAATTTTTGCAGTTTCAATTTAAGTTATAATAAATATACATGTTATTATATTAATTTAAGTTACAATGAAACCACATGTTGTTTTATACTATATAATATTGTTGCTTTTTCCTTAAATTTTCACATTCATCAGGTGACAACCCTATCAAAATAGGTATACATTGACTTTGTTAGGAAGCTTCCCCTTTGGCCTTACTCTGTGACCCTGAGCTACCATGGAATAATCATAAAACAATGCCCATAGAAAATTGGATTGAAATAAACAGTTAGAGGGAACTACAAGTTTATTTTAACAAAAAACCAAAAAATAATATTATGTCAAATTATAAATCATCATCATTGCACCTGCATATTTTGTAGAAGGTTATAACTCCATTTATTGGAAGGGTCGCCATACACTTCTTTAACTGCTTTGACATTGCCACTTGAGAACCTTTTTCCCCCATCGGTTATTGGTTCTTCAAGCTATATGGCCAGCCCATTGCCACTTTAGCTGACTAATATGTTTTGCTATATTAGTTACTCTGATTCTACTAAGTCTAACATACAGAGAAACTCCAAGCATACTCCTTTCCATAGTTATGAATGTCTTGATGGTAAAATCATAATATGTAATACTTACCTACAAGTTATGGAGATAATAATCAGCCTATAAACGAACTTAAAAGAAGCCTCGAACTTCACATCCTTAAGGTATACGTGTTCGTTTAACTGAAACACTGTAAATAAATAGTTTTACTTAGTATAGCTAAAAATTTAATGTTTATTGTGACTCAGTATCAATTGTCTCGTTTTTGTTGATATAGAAAAATAAAGAATTAATAACATGAATAAAACAATTTTAGAAATAAGAGGTAAAAAGAAAACGTAATCAAGGAGAAAATCTCGTTCACATTGCGCAAAACACGTAGTAGAAGCACTAACCCGAATCCTGAATTCTTGGCTATAAGTACAGTTCATTTCAATTATTTTGATAATTTAGTTAAAATCGAATGAAATTAACAAATGATAATTTAATTTTAATAATAAATAAATGATTAATTTGTTTTAGTTTGAACACTAAGGTAGGTTGAGAATTTCATTCATTGAAAATGATAAATATGACATTGACGGTAGCATGACATATATTGTCATTTTGTTGTCTTTTTTTATTAACTGGCTTTACGGCTCTGGGCTCTAGCTGATGATTGATTATATGATAAATGATTAGCGTGGCCTCGAGTGAGAAAGGACGATAACGTAGTTTTAGGTTATGCAATAATCTTTATGACTTTTAAACATATTTAGATAAAAATTTTAATTGTTCTAAGAACTGAAATGAACAAGATTCACCAATCTTAAGCTCACAAAACACTTTTTTTCTTTTCACTCAAACCAACTTGTAAACGCCTTAGATCGCTACGAACTGTCAAAGTTGTTTAGCAACGTGTAGCTGCTAAACAAAAATACCGGCACGGAGGAAGGGACAAACAATCACACGGCTCTGTCTCATTTATATGCAAGACATATGCATAAATCTATCTTTTTCGTGTGCGAATGCGGAAGAAGGCGTCAATTTGTCTATAGGTTTCACTGTCTACGCTGTTTACGCTCCATAGTATCGTATATGGAGGATAGAGAGAAGAAGAACAATCGCTACGTGCTATAGCATAGCCTGCATGTCCCTGAACTGCCGGTTTGCTAAACAAAGTTTGGTAGTTAACGTATAGTGGGATATCGCCTTTTAATAAAATAAAATAAATATCTTTATGTTAAGTAAATCATATTATATCTTGTTGTGAACAATTTAGACTTAATATTCCAACCATTTTTAAAAAAAAAACGGTGCGATGTAGTATTTCAGGGTGTAAAAGTGATATTGGAACGAAAACGCCAGGGTTGTTTTTCATTCGTAAGTATACCGCTCTTTATCGGTTACTAGGCATTATGTAACATTTTATAAAATTCATATATTATGTATTTATGTACCGTGCACTCTAGACGTAAATTTATCGTTAACAGTACGTTTGCACTGAGAAACATCCAACACGTAATGTTTTGAAACAAATCGCATAAAATAAATCACACTACATATTTTGTTGATGGTGGCGTTCGCACTCACAAAAACTGTGTATAAATTACCATCGTTATAATCTTTGTACATTAATTCATTATCAAACCGTTTGATGAAGGGATGTTATGAAGCCAAAAGTGTGGCTGATTTAACATACAATTCACTTGATTTCAGATTTTTTTAAAAGAATATTAACAATGCTATAAACATTACTAATATTCTCCTTAAGCACTCGTGGTAAGCTTAAATTGCTTGTGTTACGAGTGGTTCACGCCAGTAGTCGAATGGCGATTCGAACCCACGACCTTTTTGAGTTCGCGGTCCGTGCCCTGCCATTAGGCTACTGTCGCTTGTTCGATTGATCCTGCTGTTAAACTACTGTCATGGACTAGTGATCAAAAGCCAGTTGAAATAGTAAATCCTCCAATTTCTAAACAACCGTCTTTAGTAAGTATTACAACCAGTAAATATTGTGTCTGTAGTAACAAAGTTATGATTATTAAACGGTTATTTGGGTTTTAGGACTAGGCTCCAGAGTACACTACTCAAACGTTGCGAAGAAAATGGAAACGCTCGGAAAAACTATCATCCGAAAGAGTTAAAGAGTCTTCGAGAGAAAAGTAGGCGTGTATCGAAAAAAGTAGCTAAACTAGAAAATATTATTGCAGAAATTAAAAAAAATCTTTGGTAAGTGAAGAAGATGGAGATTCATTGAAATCTGTTGACCCTGCAAATAGTGATTTCTTGAAAAAAATGAAGTGAATGAAGTGGTAGAAAATATTCATCACTGTGGTAGTCTTTACCCAAATTCGCTCTTTGCGTGCAATTTATACGCCCTTAGGTTTTCAAGTGTGTACAACAATAATTAAATACTTGTCTGACTCATCCATCTACACTTACCACATGGTACAAAAGTGTAAATGCAAACCCAGGGTTTACAATAAAATATTTAGAATGGATTCAATTAGTGGCAAAGAACAAAAAAGGAGACACGTATAATGGGATTGAACAAAATGTGTAGGTCTGGTGAACTATGAAGTAGCTTTGGATGGTCATGATATAAATCACGCAACAAATGTATTTGAACCCAAGGAAAAAATTGGAAAACTTCATACGAAACTTGTTTTCTTTAAAGGACAATAATCAATAAAATCTTATTATTAATAAAACTGTTGTATGATTTACTCACTAAACAAGAACTACTCACTAAGGAAGTTATTTATAACCACATCATCATCATCCATCCTCACCCTCCTGCCCTCATCGCAACTGATTTGAGTTTGACAGCATGTCTTCTCCACATCGCATGCCTATATCTATTAACCATAATCGGTAATAGCAGTGTCCCTTTTCAGGCTTTCTTTACGTACTAATATCTAATTTTATGACTAGTTGTGGGGTAAGTTTTTCCTCCTCTTGTAACCCTAAATATAGTAACGTATTTCTTTGTCTCTTTGCGTCACGCTTTTCCGGTGTCATGGAGGTTAAAGAGAAGGACAACGATCGCTACGTGCTAAAGCATAGCCCACATGTCTCTGAAAGTAGTATCTGCGAAGTTAGCTGTTTATTAGTACAAGTAGATGAAGTTAGTTGAATAATGTACAAATTATCTTCGCAGGATTGGTGAGAAAATAATCGTGCTCAGTAATTTTTTAATTTTTGATAAAAACAAACATTAAAAATGGTGAAATATTGGGTGCGTTTGGCAGAAAAAAGCGCTAGCAAGCGCTTGTAAGCATAATGGCGAAACTAAACAGTTTTCGGCCAGGACACGTTTGCTAACTTCAGTAGCGCTGACACAATCCGTCATTTTGCTTATTTAATTTGTTTGTTTTGAAGTAGAGTTTATAAGTTGTTTTGCATTGCGAACGTTTTCCTTTTCTCTAACCGCTATAGTATCGTAGTTGAATATTATAGTACCCGGATGACCGAGCTTTGCTCGGTTTTTTTTTTGAAATTACTTTTAGATACAAATTACATACTGATGAATAATATTTTTTGATCTTATTGACATAATAGAAAAAACTGAACTGGTTATTTGAATAAAAAAATCATGAGTACAATTAATTTAGTTAAAATTTTCGTATTTTTACAAATAATAAAAAAAGGTTCGAAATAATACATTTTGTCACAAAAGAAGGGAACTTGAAAAAAAAAAGGAAAAAAAATCGGACCGAAGCCAGGACGCGAACCAGGTCATTACTATTTAGCGACCGGTCGATATCAACTTAAGTTATTGCGATCCTAAACACAATGTCAAAATTTACCTTCTTATATTGTAGCAGTTTTTCATTGCCTGAAAACACGGACAAAAAGACATTTTCTAAAAATAAATCCTAGCTAGATCGATTTATTGCCCCCGAAACTCTCTGGAAACTAAATTTTATGAAAATTGTTGGAACCGTTTCCGAGATTCTGATTATATAAGTATATATATATATATATATATATATATATATTACAAGAATTGCTTGTTTAAAGGTATAGGATAGGAGTTTTGGCGGGAATTTGGCCGTAGATGGATTGTCGCTCCTGTTTTGTCGGTTAAATAATGGTTTGAAGTGGATTTAGATTCTTTAAAGTATGCGATTTTGTGAATTAAGTGTCCGAGCTTGTGAACTATTAAAGAAAACGACGAAACAAGTGCTTTGATATCGATATAAGCCTCAAGTTTTTTTTATCGCTTGGGTGCCTCGTGAACTTGAGTGGCTGTCGGCATCAACTGTCCACTGGGTGGAGCTGTCGTCAAAATCTCCCAAGGGCTTTGCAATGTGACGCATCATCATATTGTGAAGAAAAATATAAAAATGAAGGTTCTGGAAGAAATGATGGCTCAGAAAGGCTAGATTTCGGAACTGTAAAGCCAGTTAATAAAAAAATTATATATTAGTCAATGGTTGAATGTAGTTTTTTGATTTTTTGATAATATCTATGGCCAGGTCAAAGTTGTTTTTTACAAAAATGTGTCAAATTCAACTTTATCACATTGTATTAAAACTTATTTTCAAAGAAACTTTATACAAGATAAGTTTGAATAAATATATATTTAATTATAAGATATAAGATAAAGTAATGTCTCATTAGAATTATTATTCAATATTTAACATCCGTCTTGGTTCACGTTACGTAAAGAACATATATCTTTTATTCATAGAAAAACCATGATTCTTTTAAAAGGAATGAAGATCATTAGCATCAGCGGGGGCAAGGTTCGTAGTCGCTAGTTTCATTTTCTTTCCGTCAATTATATATTCAGTTCAGTCGTATTTGAACCAGCGTTGCATTAGGTTTAGGCTGGGAAGGTTCTACTAATCTTGCAATAAATTATTATAGGTTCATTGCATAATATTATTGAGAATAATATAATTTCATTACCATATTCTCTTTATCAGTTTTTGAAAGTGATGGCGGCATATTCTACAAAAATTTGTCTCAATGAGGTTGTAATAGCATCGGCCGTAAGGACCCCAATTGGTTCTTTTAGGGGCAGTTTAGCCAGTCTTTCTGCCAGTGAACTCGGCGCCGTAGCTGTTAAAGCAGCGGTAGAGAGAGCTGGCATTCCTAAGGAAGAAGTAAAGGAGGTTAGTTGAGTTAACCTACTTTCTAGTGTATTGTTAATTCTATATTGATTGAGAATTAAAGCCCAGTTTGTTACACATCATATGAAATTCTTACTTTAAATAACTTTGCTTTAGATTAATCTAATTAAATGTTATCATATCATTATTGATAAGAAATTTTTTATTTAAAAAAAATAAGGAAGATAATTTATCTTAAACATTTCATGTAAATATGATGATATATCTTCTCATTTTTAATATTTTTTAGGTCTATATTGGAAATGTGTGTTCTGCAAATCTTGGACAAGCTCCTGCAAGGCAAGCTGTTATTTTTGCTGGACTTCCTAAAAGCACCGTTTGTACCACAGTTAATAAAGTTTGTGCTTCTGGAATGAAATCAATAATGCTGGCAGCTCAGGGCTTACAAACTGGTGCTCAAGATGTTATTTTGGCTGGAGGAATGGAATCTATGTCAAATGTGCCCTTTTACTTGAAAAGAGGCGAAACCACTTATGGTGGCATGCAATTAGTTGATGGAATAGTGTTTGATGGACTCACCGATGTGTATAATAAATTCCATATGGGCAATTGTGCAGAGAATACTGCTAAGAAATTAGAAATCTCAAGACAGCAACAAGACGATTATGCCATTTCTAGTTATAAGAGAAGTGCAGCTGCATATGAAAATAAGGCTTTTGCAGATGAATTAGTTCCTGTTTCTGTACCTCAAAAAAGAGGTGCTCCTCCAATAGAATTTACAGAAGACGAAGAATACAAAAGAGTAAATTTTGAAAAGTTTACAAAACTGGCAACAGTATTCCAAAAAGAAAATGGAACAGTAACAGCTGGAAATGCTTCTACGTTAAATGATGGTGCTGCAGCATTAGTATTAATGACTGCTGAAGCAGCAAAGAGGTTAAATGTTACTCCAATTGCCCGAGTAGTAGGTTTTGCAGATGGAGAGTGTGACCCAATTGATTTCCCAATAGCACCTGCTGTTGCGATTCCCAAACTTTTAGAAAAGACGGGTGTGAAGAAAGATGATGTTGCTCTTTGGGAAATAAATGAAGCATTTAGTGTGGTTGCAGTAGCTAATCAGAAACTATTAGATTTAGATCCTTCTAAGCTTAATGTCCATGGAGGTGCTGTAAGCTTAGGCCATCCAATTGGTATGTCAGGAGCACGCATTGTCGTTCACTTATGTCATGCATTAAAAAAAGGGGAAAAAGGTGTTGCATCTATTTGCAATGGAGGTGGTGGTGCGTCTTCTATTATGATTGAAAAATTGTAAGTTTTTTAATCAATATTAAATTTTTAAGATATATGTATATAAATAATTTGGTTTATGTATAATTGAATATTAAATATTGAATAAATTATGTTATACTGTAATTGTTTATAGATGTGTTACTCAATATCAGATTTTCATGTGCCTTAATTATTGTTTTGCTGTGCAAGGAAAAATGTTATTGATATGGTTTCTTGAGGATGAAGGTATATTCATAGGTGAAAAGTTATATGTAATATAACTTTAATCATAAGTTAAAGATGTAATTATTTTGAATATATTTGTAATTATTTTGAAGCCTTTTTGGTGCTGTTTTTAATGACTTATAATAAATGATGATTAAATCATACAATGTTAATTTTTTGAATCTTTTATTCTGTATCAAGCAGATAATTTTTATTTCAGACCTGAAGTTATGCAAAGACCTCCTGTTTTAACTTTCTACACAAGAGATCCCTGCGCTCTATGTGATATAGTAATGGACGAACTCGAGCCATTTAAAGACAGGCTGACTATTCACAAAGTCTATATTACAGAAAAGGATAACGTGAGATGGCTAAAACTGTACTGCCATGATATACCTGTATTATTCCTTAATGGAAAGTTTCTATGCATGCACAAATTGGACAAACACTTGTTAGAGAGGAGGTTAAAAATAATTGAAAATGAATCATAATTCATTACTATTTCATATTTTGTTGTATTATTATACTAGTCATTTTAATAATTGCATGATAATGTATAAACGTATATAATATTGGATAAAAGACATGAACTGTACTAAAACAATGTTATTATTATACCTATTGGTGGCTTACCTATTCAACCTGAGTGATTGAGCGCGCGATTGACCTTGAGCGTCAGGAGGGCGCTACAAGCTTAGACCATTTACACAATTTGGGTTGAATGATCTAAGCCTACAAGCCTTCGAAGCGCCTTACCCATGTTTAATTTGATGTTAGCAAAATTGGGGTTACAATATTAGGGCATACATTACTTCATGTACATCATTACTTACCGTAGGGTTAGACAATAATCAAGGGCTGGTATACTAAAAGATGGGGGTGTAGCAAATTTTCTCGCCCGAGGCACCTAAATGGCTAAGTCCACCTCTGGTTACTATTGCTAAATCTAACATTTTGAAAATTTAAAAATTTGATCAATAGGCTTTTAAAAAAAGGATTGTCAACAATGACATTGCCTTAGTGATACAAAGTATATAGTTAAGCTAAAATTGAGAATAGAATACATAGACTTATACTACTGCATATATAGAATGATTTTTTATTCAATATAGATTATTATTTATTACATAATAATTATTGAAAGTCATTTTTTATTTACCTTTCGTTCAAAAAATATAACTATCCGGGGATTATCTCAGTCTTGGGAAGAGCTAGCTAGAAACCATGCAGAATTAATTTTTTAAATATATTTCACCTTACAATAATTTTGTACAATTTTAATAGAACCAGCGCAGCGTGTCGATCACCTCATTTCCATAAGTTATTTTCATTTATGTATTCTTTGATATGATATTACATTTAACAAAATATTTCACTTAGGTTATTGTTTTAATTTTGTATATTTTCTGGATTTTTTGTAAAAGCGTACACATTCCTCAATAAAAGAACTACTAATTTTGTGGAGTCTAGTAACTGGTATTACAAGCTTATGTTTGTTCCTAATGTTTAAAGAATGAACATTTTTATTCTTATCAAAGCTATTTATATGTTTTTTTATGTACCATACATACATTTTCATAAATGTATTGCGATGCCAAAGTTAATATGTTTATTTCTTTAAATTTTTCTCTGAAGTGCTCTTTATAGTTATAATTTAAGTTATAAATCGCCCGTACGGCTTTTGCAAAATAAATATGGTCTCAATGTCAGTCGCATTATCCCATAGCAAAATTGCATAAGACATTACGCTATGAAAGTATGAAACTGAAGCTTCGCGTTGATAGTGGTATCCACAAGACCTGACTTCTACCCATTTAAGAGCATATTGGTTATCGAATGTTTAACGTCAGGTATTGTTAATTTAATACATTTTGTTCTATTGCCGTTTAAGAGCAAATTGTTGGCATTAAACCCACAGAACACAATTACTCTCTAGTTAAACCAATGTGCCTACTAACTTCAATAGACCATTATTTACATCGTCATAATTAATTGATTGACGTGTGAATTTGAAAATTAAAGAGGTATCAATAGCAAATAATATTCCGTCGTGATTGCCCCTACAAAATAAGATATGTCATTAATATAGATTAAGAACAGGAATGGGCCAAGATTCGGGCCCTGGGGAACGCCCCTTGATACTACCGAGTACCGATCCGGATATCTTTGCAATTGATAACGACTTTTTGAGTTCTGTTATTATTAAAAAACTAATAATAGAAACAAAAACTAAAAACTTAAATTATCAATTTACCATATGGTCCTACTTATCTATCTTCTCATGGTTCATGGTTCTTATCACGGTACCTACGGTATCGTGCTAAGAACGCTGGTTGCGTTTCCTCGCTGAATGGCTATACTTAGCCTTTGAGCGAGAAAGGAACCAGCCCTCACCAGCAGCGACGATCAGTCGCGGATTCATTTCCTGTAGGAACTTCACTACACGTTTACTTCACGGACCGATAATCTCTACAGCATATGACACAACATTGTAGTCATCTCTCAGAGACTTATTTCCGCCACTTACGTCAATTGCTTCTGATGCCACCTCGGCTGTAAATGATGTACCCTGAGATGAGAGGCTGCCTATGTCTACGCAAATAGCATCCCACACTAGCGTTTTATCCAAGGGACCAGTCATACGGTCGGCTCTCTTGCCATCGTCTGAATATTCCACAAAGCTCTAAAACCGAGGGAACACTTATAGAGACAAGACTCTTCGGATAACATCGTTCAAAGAACCATGACGATTACTTTTGTTACATCAAAATTCGTAAATTAGAATAGTGTTTGAGTTTCTGAAAAACAGATACAAAAAAGCTAATGGTTTTAAGTAGAACTAAAGTAATGGATGTTGCAATAATAATTGATTACCACATTAACATAATTGAAATTCCGGCAATCGCCGTTAAGTCTAGTTTTTATGTGGTTTTTAGAATATTATTAAAAACTAAAAACCTTATGAAGTCAACGTAATAGTTATTGGAATTATAATATTTAAAATTGTTACTAATACTACTATTTATGAATGATTAGGGTTTTAATGATGATCATAATTTTATATTTATTTCTTTAGCGTATTCATATTACACTGAATCACATCTAAAACATACCTACCTACAATAAATCTGTGGAAAAGTCGTGTCTGTAATTCTAATATTTTCTGGAAAAACCAATTACAGGGGCCTAAATAAAGCGCATTGAAGCCAAATTAGTTGTTTTTAGATTTTTTTCTGTCTGTTTGTGTATTCAAGATTCACGCAAAAAATACGGTGTCGTCGTCGGCTGAGTTGCAAATGATGGTTACATTAATGAACTGGGCATTAAAAGACAGGGGAATGAAAGTAAACGCAAGTAAGACAAAAGTGATGGTTTTTGAAAGAGAAGAAAGCAAAACGATATGTGAAATAAGAATAGAAGGAAAGTTAATTGAGCAAGTGGATGAGTTCGTGTATTTAGCGGGGATGGTAGACGTGATAAGGATATAGAACGACGAGTAAATGCAGGGAATAGAGTGAATGGGGCACTATACTCTATGATGAAGAATCAGAATGTGTCAAAAAAGGCACGTATGGTAATTCATAATGCTGTGTTAGTCCCTACTTTAATGTATGGTAGTGAAAGTTGGGTGTGGCAGAAGAAGCACGAAAGTAGAATAAATGCTGTAGAAATGCGGTCTTTAGGGAGTATGCTAGGGTTGAATTTGAATGACATGGTGAGAAATTGCGTGATAAGAGATAAATGTGGTATGCAAGATGATGTTGTGACCAGGATTAAGAAAGGAATGCTTCGGTGGTTTGGTCATGTAGAAAGAATGAATGAGGAAAGAGTGACAAAGCAAATTTATATGGCAGATGTGAACGGCAGAGTTGGGAAGGGACGCCCTAGAAGAAAGTTTATCGACCAAATTGGCGATATTTTGAAAATGGGCCACATTAGAAGTAACCGACGAGCATGTATGCGTAGATATTTGGATGTAAAAGAGGCGAAAGAGGTAGGTATGTAAGTATCGTGTCAAATGGAAGTCCGTCTCTGTCTACCCATCTGGGGGACAGGCGTGAGTGTTTATGTATGTATGTTTGTTGTTTATATCATGATATAGCTTGACCAAATCAATGAATTGAGATTGTTTGGCGATATTAACAACTAAACACGACATTGCTATTTCTAGATGTAATTGTTATATCGACAAATTACACACCGCTAGCGGTATTGATTGCGTATATTTGATAAAAGCATAATTTTTAATAGATTCTACATCACTTCATGGCAAATTTACGTATTACATAAATGTTAGCGGCTTTGTTTGCTGTAGAGCCATTCCAGTGGCACCTCAACTTATGGTGTCTGAGAACTAGAGCTCAGCTGAGTAAACTAACAACAGGTAATAACTGGTCAAATTAAACACAATTGTATTAAATAGGTATTTACTTATTGTTGCAGCATCAAAACTTGTCAGACCGGTACAGACCGGTGGCACAGATTAAATAACAGTAGGTAACCTACTACGCCAGTTACCACTGTCTGCATGATTTATCGTAATTGTCAATTTTAGCAAAATTACTAATTTTGCTAGTAATTTATTTTAATTTAGTTTCATAGTGTTGCAATGTGCACTAAACTTTAATTAAGAAAAGTCTTTAGTTGAATATGTTGTGTATCTATGGGCATAGCAATATTTCATCAATTTCTTTTTCTATCAAGCCCTTCGAGTATTCAACCAACTGGGGAGGCCATGCGTGTTAATTCCTAAACAAAAATTCTGTCAACATCAGGGGGGCGCAAGAACAACACACAACTGTATACTTAACTACAAATGCAAAATTAAATCGTGTCACTATAAACGCACACTACAACATTTGTGTTGGTGTTCATCGCGTTTACGTATACCATCAAATTGTATACGTGTCTATACACATATATACAATATGTAACAAAAACCCTGTGGTTCTCGTTAAGTGTGTTATCAGAATCAGAATCCAAGCCTATGGAAATATTTTTTTTTCAAACAAACAATTTAAAAAAATTAATGTTGATGAAAAAAATTAATTTGCAAATTGTATGTGGTTTTATTTCCTCTAACTCACACGGGTATCGGTACTGCGGGGTCTTTGACAATCCTCTTACTCCTCGGCCATTGCAGAGATAATAAAACCACATACAATTTGCAAATTAATTTTTTTTTTCATTAAAATTATTCTTTTTTAAATGTGTTTTTTTTTGAAAAAAAAAATTCTATATGCTTGGATAATGATTCTTATAACACAGTTAACGGGAACTACATGGTTTTTGTTACATGTTGTATATCATATAGATAGCGCTGACAGACCTCTATCATTCTTGCTACCTGTCTTATTCCTCTATCATTCTTGTTACGCGTTGGAGGTGATTGAGTGTTAAAGTTTTTTAATGCTGTTTACGTATATAACTTTTTGTAAATATTGTTGAAATAGTTTTTGTTTATTGTTTAGTATATTTAATTATAGGATAA